TTTTTTTTTTTTTTTTTTTTTTTTTTTTTTTTTTTAAATCTCGTTTAGTCGTTAGGTGTAACAGAGACTCTTTAACTGCACTCGTTCAGTTTGTGTAACCAGGCTTTGTTCCACGGGAATTTCTGTTGCAGTTCAGTCTATGCCAAATAAACTGCTTTATTTGATACCGAGCCGTGGCGTGGTGGCTTGCTGGGAACAACACCTTGTCAGAGAGGTCTCAGGAAAGAAGGCAGCTGGATTTGTGGGAAGGGCCTGGCGCCGCTCTCTGCCGTCCTCCAGACTGCCGGGAGCCACACGGCAGCTCCCACGTGCAGCAGGTCAGCAGGAGGTCTGGGAATAGCAGGGAAATGAGAAATAGGAATTCTTTCCCAGCCCAGTCACCTGGGATCACCGCAGATCCACTCTGGCTGGAAAAGCAGAGGCTGTGCGCCTTGTGTACCTGGATCCCAGATCTTCAGGGATGTGCTGAGGAGGGTTGTCCGTAATGGAATGAATGTGCCTTTGGACAACACAGAGAACTGCCAGTTACTGGTAAATAAATGCGCATCCACATTCCTGCTCTGCGGGAGATTGTTATCTCTGTGGGTGAATCTTGGCAGCTGGGATGTGAGGAGTATACACATCCCTGATGGATGTGGCTTGGGGAGAAAAATAATTAATGGATCTTTGCCCTGCACAGAGTTGGGAAGCACCTCAAGAAAGGACTGGGGAGGGAGGAGGCACAGGATGGGGCAGGGTGTCCACACAGATCTCCAGATCTAATGTTGGTTATCACCACAAAAGGCCACTTTCCTTGGGGCATGAGGAGAGGGCTGAGGATCCGGGGACCCACACCAGGAAAGAGAATGGGAAGGTAAGAGATAAAAAAGCTCCAAAAAAAAAAAGGGTCTGGTTGCTGGCAGGAATCCATCAGGTAACAGACACCCGAGATGCAGGAGGAAGGTTCCAGGAAACTTGCAGGTTTTGCGGAGATTTTCATCCTTTCAGGAGGGAGGTGCAGGTGCTGCTTGAGGCCGGCCGGGCCTATGGAAGGGTGTTCCCGCTTCCAACTCTGCAGGGAAGTAAGAGTCAAAACCAGAAACCCTCTGGAAAGGCGAAGAGTGGCAAGGACAACCCGATCACGGCAGGGGGGTTGGGGGTGGATGATCTTTAAGGTCCCATCCAAGCCGAACCATCCCGTGGTTCTGTGATTCCACGCCCATGGCGGGGGTTGTGAGGGGTCAGCGTGTGGCACCGGGAGAAGCCGGGGGATATCCCTCCTCTCTCTCTCTCTCTCCCTCCCGGGGACTGCCTGGTGTTCCCGGGGCGGTTCCCGAGGGCCGTCCCGGCCGGGGAGACACCCCCTGCCCGCGGGACCGCCCCGGCTCCGCCGCCCGAGGGAGCGCCGTGAGGGAGCGCGGCGGGGCCGCCCCGAGCCATGGAGCGCTACGAGAAGCTGGGCAAGGTCGGGGAGGGCTCCTACGGCGTCGTCTTCAAGTGCCGCAACAAGGACACGGGGCAGATCGTGGCCATCAAGAAGTTCCTGGAGTCCGAGGAGGACCCGGTGATCAGGAAGATCGCCCTGAGGGAGATCCGCATGCTCAAGGTGGGTGGCTGTGAGGGTCCGGAGCCCCGCGCCCGGCACGGGCGGTGCCCGCCGCGGGGAGACCGGGGCAGGGAACCGGGGAGCCCTGAGGGAGCTGCCGGGGACGGGGCGTGAGGGGACGGGGGCTGTGGGGAGACGTGAGGGGATGGAGTGTGAGGGGGACAGGGCGTCGTGAGGGGACA